CAACTCCGCCTACCTATTTGTTCATTCATTCATTCATTTATACAATGGTATTTCTCTACATGTGTACATATCTAAAAATTTACACATTTATGTTTCCTGATTTGTTTTGTTTAAACGAATATGCTGGTAAGCATAATTTACTTTACAAGAACATAATGATAATTTAACACTATTCAAGTGGCAAGTTTGTGTAAATCATACACACCATGTAATAACTATTATTTGTATACATGTTTATAACTCTATCTATTCTGTTTATAAGAGTTTACCTAATCTGTTTATCTACCAATGATACATAGACTAACTACTACTGAATTTCATTTCTATCCCCAAGTACCTATTACTTTTCTGAATTCAAAAAAACAAAACTAGACCAATCGATTTCTCATTCACTCGGGCATTAACTACATATACATCACATAGGTGTAATATATATAACACACACACACACAAACATTATACACAGCTACTTTCATTGTCTAAAACTCCTACATAGAAACATTAAATAGGTAGTGTATATATGTATGGGTATGATAGAGAAAGAGTGCCAAACATAGAAATCAATAAAATAAACTGGTGTAAGGCAACAAAACACAAACGGGAAATATGATGTATCATCATTATAAAACCCAAAATGACTAGTGATACACTTCCAAAAAGTTAAATCATCCATAAATAAACAAACAAACAAAAACAAAACACCATAATGTTAAACAATAAAATTAGACAAATCGGATGGAGTTTTCCTTGAAGAATTTCCAACACTTTCACAGTTTATATATATAGAGGAGTGGGGGGGAACTGTTTGCATTACTCTTTCCTATTAAAAATGTAATGTAAAGAAAAATCAATAAGTTATTTTGCCAGGATTCTTTATGGGATTGTTTTGATTTAGCTGATTATTGAATAAATGAAAGTTGTGTTTTACATCTTATATTTTAGTGGTATAATGTCTTTTTGAATAGGATGGTTTCATCATGAAGTTTTTGATTGAGATCATTGAACCGATTGATATTAGACCATTATTGGAAGCTTGAAAGCACTGGACGGCCGTTTTGTTCTAGTATGCGACCCGTCGGAAGTGTACACCAAGAACCCTGTACGCGGGACTCAAATTCAAGACCTTCAGTTTCGCGTGCGAAAGCCTAACCTGTAAACCAATTGTGGCAATGTCTAAATTTTATGGATCCATAAATGGCGGCGTAACGATTCATCCATTGTTTGAGGTAGATACCTGTCACTACGCGACATGGATTGGACTTCACTGGTCACAGCTTCTCACTAGAACTCTAGGAAATCATCTTGGAGCCAGTCACTAGTGATTGCATGATGATGATGATCAGGATGGGGTTTTTATGGAAATTGTAGTAATTTTAATACTTGAAATCATTAGTCGATCTAAGCTAGATGTCTATAGGTTAAGTGTTCGCACGCGAGACCGAAGGCTCTGGGTTCGAATTCCACGTGTGTGATCGTGGACGCGCACTGTTGAGAAGTCTCATACTAGGACAAAACGGCTGTTCAGTGCTTCCAGGCTTTCGATGGCGGTCTAACTTACATTGATTCAGGGATCCAACTATTAAAATTACTACAATCTCCACAAAAACTCCATTCTGAAAATATAGTTTTCACAAATAAATTGTTTAAATTTAGTCAAAACAAAAACTTTGTTTACAATTTTCATCACTAAATAATAAAGGTCCTGGGTCCGAGTCCCACATGCGGAATCGTAAGTGTACATTGCTGGAGAGTCCCATACTAGTACATTCTGTACTTCCAGGTTTTCACTGATGGTTTAGGTTACATCAACTCGTGATTTCAACTGTAATTAATAATAACTGATAAATGTAACAAACTGATAAGCTATTTATTTGTCATTAACTTATACACCAAACTATCACTATAGTCGTTACATGACATAGAAAAAACGTCGCTTATTAGACTCTTTCTACATGAATGATAACTAAACATTCACATTTCTTTTTTTGAATATCGAATGTTGTAAAAGTATGACAATGAATGATTATGCTTGAATAAGTTTGCTTAAAACACGATCTGGTTTATCGTCAATCACACTCATTGATTCACAGACTTGGGATGAACACTTTCCAATTTATAATACACTAATTTAGTTAACGAAATGGAGGGCAAATTTATGTATTCATGTATGTTATATCCCGATGAGAATAATGAATAATGACTGTTTGGATCTATTACTGGACTAATACTATACATATATTAAGATTTTAGATGGTGGTTGGAGGTAGTCAACAGGAAACCCTGGACCCGGGTACACCTTGCTGACGAGTGCCAAGTAGCACGAAACCCGGGTCCAGGGTTTCCTGTTGACTACCTCCAACCACCATCTAAAATCTTAATACATAGTGCCCGCAGTGTCGAGTTACCTAGACTGGTGGCCACATTATAACATGATCGATAGCATTCGATCTGCACTAATAAGGACTAGACAAGCATGACATTGATCACCACCCAGTGATCAATCAATTGTGACTATACATATATCTTTTGTGATATAATTGTCAATTAACTAAACTATGTATATTCATGTCTCTCTTATTATAAGCTTTATTTTGACCCATAGACTATTATTATACGATTTACCGTTCGAGAGTTACACCCGGTTTATTAACTACCGTCTTCCACATTCACATCCATTTTTGGCTAAATCTTGGTACGATGTGTTCTATATAAACACAGTATGTGTGAAATACATGATTCATATCACAGAGGCTGAGATTGATGTTCTGGACTCGAAGAGGCAGGTCTAAGCAGGGAGAAGGAACGATAAAGACTGTAGACTGCTCATACGAGTTTTATGCGTCATTATTCCCGTCGATAAATCACAGTTTTCTAATTGGCGGTATCATTACGTTATAATTTGTTTATATGATGAAGTAATAGATGAGAGTTGCGATAAGATTCGTTAGTCATAACAATATACTTAAGTTTACTTAGAGTTAACCGATTAAATTAATTTGAATTCCAAAGGATATTATCCTATTCATCTTCATCTTGATTAAGCTTTGATAATGATTTTCAGTAGAATACTGAGTTACAAAATGACATTAGTACATGAAATCATTGACAATGGATTCGAGTTATGTTGAGATTATCAAGTCGAGAGTGAAAGCAAATACTGGTTTGTTTAACAAGAAAGAGGTAGAAGAATGTCTCCGAACGAACATCAACTCTGAGATGCAAGTACATCCAGCCGAAGAGTCCCATATAGGACGAAACACGCGTCTTATATTTCACTGCTAGTCACTACCCAACTTGGATATGAGAGAAAAGGAGTGAAATGTGGAAAGGATCCTTCACTTCAAGATTTTACTCAGGGATTTTGAAATCAGCTTATTCAAAACTTCAGCAAACGTATCTTCTTTAAATTTGATATTCATAAAAAGTTTTATTTTGAATTGCCAATGCTTTTTCAGTATGCTGTCTAGGTGTTAATTTTCTATTGACGAATCTAGTTGGATAACTATTTTTGATCAGTATCTGTCGAAAATAAAGTAGCTCGTCATCTATCCTTCAGGATAAAGAATGAATTAAGTATCTCTTTCTGCTCAATGGAATCCAGCTATGGAAATTCGTATACTATCCATTCCAAGTTAGTTTTCTTTATATAGATCTGTGTAAAGAACCATCTTTTTTAATCGTTCTATAGACTTATATCTACCATATACCTATAAATACGAATGTACAGCTTAAGTAAGTGACTTCATCGAAAAGAAAATTTTCTTCGCTGAATTCTCTTTGCTTTTATTCAATAACACAATATGTTGTTTTAAATATTGTGTTTTGAATTGATTTTCACGTCTGCATCGGATCCTCCTCGTTCATCGATGATGCTTTACAGGTACGTGAAAGATTCCACATCTCCCAGAGCTTCTTCATCAAGTATGATTGGGTTGGTGTTCTTTGTATTGTATTTAGGGATCTTGTTTTTTCCCTTATATATATATGCTTAAAATACAACAACGATGTTAAACTGGTGAGTATTGGTCTTGTGTTCTTTATCTCTATTCACGGTCAACCGTCAGGCATAAAGTATCAGTCTTCCTCGTCCTTTCTGAGCACTGATCAGTTGTAGGACATAACTAAAATATGACTACAACACTCCAAATCAATTTACACAACCAATCTTACTTCAAGAAACTTGTCAGTCAATCACTCATTTTAAAAAGTAGATTATTCAAATGTCTAAGCAAAGTTGACTTCATCCCTGAATGAATGTTTGATAACTTATAAAATGTTAATTATATTTTATGTATATGGATGAAATGATTTGTTAACTTTAACCTGAGACATGAACAGCATCTAAACACCCTGTTGGAATTCTATAATGCTCATACTATTGGAGGTCCTTTGATAACTACAACATTGGATGTCAATAATCTTAGTGTAACCTATTCCTCTTATCTCTCTTGGTCTTCTCATGTTTCAATGTGAACGAAGTAAGTTTTCTGTTTGACTTACTACATAAAGAGACTATATGCTTTAGAGATTACTCGACATTCACTTTTATACTTTGTCATTTCTTGCATATTACCTATTATTCACTACTGTTCTCTATTATTCTTTCCCATACTTTTGAGAAAAGACTTTTCTGTATTGTGGAAAGTGCTGAAGGTAGTTAGAAGAGTGTGTGGTGAATCTTTTGAGGTCATCAATAATATGGTTGTGGATAGATATCTAAAATCTTGTAAATTCCTGAAAGGTATTATCTTATCAGATACTAACCATTCATTTCATTCATATCTTTCTCCTTGTATATCTCCTGGTAAAACAAAACCTCAATACTTTAGAATCCATGCACGCAAACTCCAATCAGATAATCGCTCAACTTGACTAAGAAAGTTTCTGAAACGTGATAATTTAAACATTGAAATTAAGTTACTTATTTCGTATTAAGTAGTATTATCAAGTTGTATCAATTTTATAGACCAAGATAATTCCACTTCATAAAAAGTACTAAATTTCAATCCAGAAATAAGATTTATTTTGGTTTAGAAACAAAAAAAACGTGAACTGAATACATTTGAAAAATAGACACAAATAAAGGAAGACAAAAAACAAACAAAACAAAAAGACACAAGTTTACAACAAGAAAATAACATCAAAATGGTAACAAGACAAAAACAACCTAAGAATATGGACATTGAACAGTTAATCATTATTTTGTTCAGAGAAAAGAAAAGATTCAAGAAGAAGCACATCCGAAAAAGTGGCAAATAAAAGAGGTGAATTACATTTACGTTGCATGTTGAAATGCTTCATTTATAATGAGTTTGTATCTATAGTTCTTAGTAGTAGTAGTAGTAGTATAGTAAAGAAGAGTTAGTATACTTTCGGAAGGTCAATTTGTGTAGTTTGTTTGTTTCTATGTGTATCATTGTTTATCTGAATGTGTGTGTGTGTGTATGTATATGATTGACTGAATATGTTTACATTTAACTAGAACAACATTTCATGTGGTTTATCATGTTTTCCAATTGTGAATAATGATTTTAAATAACCAATTAATAACTTTGAATCGGTATGAGATTTGATCGCTTTTCTCACTTCATTATCTATATAGATTTGATCAGTTTTCTTTTCATCATTTGGTTTATAAGTTGATCTTTTAGTATTAATACCATGTTCAAGAATCTCATCAAATTGATTATGATTAAATTTTGTTTTGAAACTTTTACATTTAGTAGTTCTAGTGAAATATTTTTTTGCATGAATTCTTTCAGGAAGTGATAACTGTAATAATGAAAAAGAAATATGGAAGGAAAAATAAACAAACAAACAATATTACTGTTAAAATTAGAGGGATACTCTTGGAATGTATATTTCTCAAATAATAACAAAGTCAAACCTAATTCTATGTGATTGAAATCATGAACTGATCTTAATTAGGCCTTCTAAATGCTTTAGTATGGTCAAAGGTAAAGAGAGTCCACTCTTCCTATTCAAATCCTTTCACATGGCTACACGTATACAACCACTAATAGGGAAGTCATACTCACTGTCTTATCGAGAACTCAGTGTTGTCTACAAAATTGAGAGAACAAACAGTGAATGTCTGGCATCTTAACCGGGTTGATGGGTACGGAAGACCAACTCATGGGAGGTAGGAAATCCTGATTCCAAAAAAAGGTGAATATGGGGTCTAGGATCGTGAGAGAACACATGGCGTGTGAACCAAATGTTGGTCACTGTCTACTATGAGACTGCATCTACTTTTCGTTGCTCCACTGCCTTGTGGATTAGGCCTTTAGGTCAAAGACTCGTGGAATGAACCCCGTAAGTAAGCAACTTGCTTTGATTTTTGGCACCCTGTTAGTATCACAACTCCCTTACAAATCAATGATGACTACTACTGGCCTCATTGTTATTGTGTGGCGTATATGTATTTGATATACCCATGTACCAATGTTTATGTGTTCAAATAAATAAACCATTAAAAGTTTGAAAGCATTAGACATCTGTTTCCCTCTAGCATGGAACACAATAACAGTGCGCATCCACGACCTAAGCTTCGGGGGTCGAATGCAAGACATTTAGTCTCATGAATGAGTACATTATCTATAGACCACTGAGCCAGGATCGAATAGTGTGCATGTATAACTCCAGTCCATTCACTATATTGTGCCATTATCTTCAATTGCTTCAGTTAAATAACTATCTCATAATCAACATAGTTGAACTCCGCTGGTCATATCTTATTAATAAAACTCTCGAAATCTCTTCTGGAAGCTATTCACCAGTGAGGATATGGTAATTATCATTATGGGGTTGTGTAGATCACTGAATACCACCGAGACTCATATGATCCTATAGTAAAAACAATTACATCTTAATTCTAAATAATTATTTGTTCATCAATACGGTAGCACAGTCAAAATCAGGTAACATCAAGATTAGAATGAGTCAAAGTGATAGTTTGGTGTATGTTACTTATGCTGACAGATATAAGTAGTATATAGAACCAATCGGAAGTGGAATGCCTAACAGCATAAGGTTGAAATGAAGGGAATAGGGAAAGAAAACGAAGAGCAATCAAAATAACAACAGAATCAGAAGGATAATAGAGTATGTAAACGACAACACAAACAAGCTGTGCAAATGATGCATTTAATGTATGATTTTCATATGCTATTAAGTCACTGGGATTTTACACTAATCAATAAATTGGTTTACATTAAAGACCCCTTCACAACCAGATCAAAACCAGACATTTATAACTTGAATCTTAGAAAGTCAAAATCTAAAGTTATTTTTTTTTTGCTTTTGTAGTTTGGAAACCAATAGAGGTGTATACCTAAGATCTCTCTCTCTGTGTGACTTAACTGACAGCCTACTCTGTTATACTTCAATAGTTCAATTGATCCCTAGTCGTTTTCTTATATAACTAATCTCGTTGTTTTTAAAGATATATATTTCAGTGATAGATTGCAGTGCACATCTCTGTTGTTTATAATTACGAGTTCAGTAAATTAAGTAATTAAGATGGGGCAAAATCGACTGACTCGTGCCATATATAAATGATCGACGACACTACTGATCAAGAAAATCATTTGTAATTGACTAATATGAATGATTTCACTGATTCATGAATTCAAAGCACTTAATTAGAAGTTGTATGCTTGTTGGGTAGCGTTCAATTCTGGCTGTCGGGTGAACGAGGACGGGAAACTACATTTTAAACCAATAATCATTAATTCACTTTTGCATTGTATGTTTGATACTTCCCATTGATGTTTAAGACTGCAATTAATCAGTCTCTTATTAGCATATATGTATCTTGAGAAGATTGTCTCGATATTACTCCAACTCACAAGCATTGTAAGCAAAAATAGATGGTGGCTATCAGTGAAATCCAGGATGCGCATTTCGTCTTATTTGGGTCTTTTCTGATAGATGTACCTGCATCTCAGAGTTGATGTTCACTCCGGGACTCGAACACAGTACCGTTTACTTCTAACGCCATCGCGTTATCCACTTAGCTAATGAGTCCTTCTAGCCACCAGCATGTGCAACGGGGTGATGTTTTTGATTCTCAGAATGAATATCAATTCTCAGATGTAGGTACATTCAACTGACAAGTCTCACATAAGACGAAACATGCGTCCTAGATTCCACTACTAGCTACCGTCTATCTTTGCTTACAATAATCATTAAGTTTTATTATCGGCTTTTATCTCACTATCATCGTGTCGTCGTTTAATCAAACATCACTGATCAATAGAACTGCTCTCTCTCTCTTACTTCCCCCCTCCTGTCTTACAGTCCAATCACATAAGCACCTCCGTTTACTTCTATCGTCACATTAAAAATAATAACTGCAGTAATTCTTGAGTTAATATATATAGTCATACCTTAATCAATAGAAGGGGAGGCTGGATGAAGTTAAATATTTTTCAAATTAATTAAAATACCAACAACAAGAAAAGAAACAACTTACACTACTTAAATCAATTTTTGTTTTAGTAGCAATCACATAATCTGGATGAACACGACGTAATGGACAACCATTATAACAATATGGTCCAGTGACAAGTAATAGACCTGTTGATTTTTGTCTACCTAAACTAACTACACGTTTACCACGATGTCGTCCAGCTAATAATATAACAATAACACCATTTTCTCTTAAACTTGGTCGTAGACGCCATTTTTTTAATATTTTCTTGGATTTCTGTTTCATTGATGTTTTTCTTTTATCTGTAGACGATGATGATGATGTTTCTTTTGGTTGATTAGTTGAATCCGTTTTTCTTCGTTTAGCAGCTAAACGAGCAGAACGAATATATTTTGGATCAACCTAGGATACAAAAAGAAAATAGAAGATGATAATGTTATAATGGGCTGTGTATAAAAACACATGTAAAAATGTATAGGAAGAAGTCAGAAAGATACATGAAGAACTTCTTACTGATTCAAATCATTGTACTTCTGCTTTTTTTTAAATTTTGATGAACCTTACTGTGAAGATTGATGGTGGGCGGCTCATGCTCCTCTACGACGAGTTACAGGTGTAAGTAAGTAAGTAAGTACTATGAAGATACTAGAAATCAGGACATCTTAAATGGTCATTTCATGTTGTACGCTTTAATTCTATGAACTATATATATAAATAGACCATTGAAACCCTAGGAAATCAAGTAGTCCCAAACTAGGATGAAACGGCCGTCCAGTCCTTCCAGGTTTTCCATGGTGGTCTAGCTTCAGTTGACTCATGATTTCAACTTGTGAAATCGAATGATTAACAATCTATTTGTGTCTAGCATATTCAGTACTGAAATAATAGACAGTTGCACTTCAGTAGGATACCTTTGACAATGTTATGTTCTTTGTGTTAGATGCTATCATTAAGGAAATTTCATTGTTATTCTAGATAATAACATTTACACCTACTTTATGCAGAAATATATCCAGTATTCTGTTCTGAATCATGAAAGACAAGGTAATGTTCAAATGAAATTACTACACAAAAGAATGGACTTCATTATAATAGGAAACTTTATCTTACACAAACCTCGTGAAGAAAAATGATTGAAGTTAACTTTTGGGAAGTTTTAGAACTCGATGTTCCGATACTCATCAGAAAGACATATCTTCAATCTCGATGTTAAAGGATTCTTGCTCTATAGTTCAAACGCACATCCTTGAATTTTAATTGCTTATTAGACAGTTGATTGTAGACTGTAACCAAAGACACTAATTCTGATTCGATGACTTCCTACTGTGTACTTCAAAAAGATCGACCGATTATTACTGTAATTAATTAATCAATAAATCACTAAAGGAAATCGATTTATTTTATCGATTAATATAGAAGATACGAACACATATAACCAGAGGTATGGTTAAAAGACCTGAAAATATTTTGGAATGGTGATGATAATGAACTAATTAAAACCTCTTAGTTGACCATATTTTAATAATTAAATATTTTACAAACTAAAAGAAAACAGATGAACAAAATAAATTCGAAAGAAGGTGAAAAGAAGGTAAACAAATAATGAAAGCAATTACTATTATCATCTTTTTGATTGAGATCATAAATTGATCAATGTTAGACTACTATTGAAAACATGGAAGCGCTGGACGATTGTTTCGTTCTGGTATGGGGATCCTCAGTAGCACGAATCCCCCGTGCGCATCCACAATCAAGCACGCAGGATTCGTTCTGTTAATCCACGACGCAGTGAAGCAACGTAAGGAGATGCAGTCCCATGGTAGACAGTGAACAACATTTGGTTCACACGCCATTTGTTCTCTCGCGATCCTAGACCCCATGTTCACCTTTATTTTGGAATCAGGATTTCCTAACTCCCATGGGTCGGTCCTCAATGCCCATCAACCCGGTTAAGATGCCGGACATTCGGTGTTTGTCCTCTCAATTTTGTAGACAACACTGAATTCTCGATAAGACAATGAGTATGACTTCCCTGTTAGTTGTTGTATACGTGTGACCATGTGAAAGGATTTGAATAGGAGGAGTGGACTCTCTCCACTCCTGACCATACCAAGGTATTTGGAGGTTCTTTCTTCAAAGAATAAACTGGATGACATTTTTCTAATTCATGCTTTTTTTCAACAACTTTGACTGTCATCATTTTTAGTTTGTTAATTTCGTTATGTCCTCTAAGGTGATTGTATGTTATGACATAAACAAGGTGTTCCTTTTTTTAATTTTTAACTTATTTTCTAAATATAAAATTATCCCAACAGTCCAGTCTTCTCTAACTCATGTTGATATGTAGATTATTAGAGTTGAAATGTTGTTGTATGACAGATGTTCAGTCTATTCGAGTTTCCATTCATTTGCATTCATATTAAAAGAATCATTAAGCGTTCATAGACAGAATTTATCATAAGCTAACAGGAAACACCAACAAGTTAATCATGTTTGTTAGATATAGTAATTCTATAATGTAACATTGTAATTCAAAATTAGAGAGTACTGTATACCTGTACCGAACCCAATCTTAAGATACAACTACAAAAACCATTTTATATAGCATGAGTTACATTGAAGGTGAATATATACCTACAAAGTATGAAACCAGAGAGAATGACTTCATATAATAATCTCGTTTGTGTTTACACACTGTTAGCGGGACATAAATTGGATTAAATTATGCTCTATGAACGCTTGCGCCGGCGCACGCTGATTGGCTAATTCTTATCCAATCAGCGTTAGCCAATACTTAGTGAACACTCTAGAAATCTCATGTGAAAACTATAAATAATACTAACGTATTTCCTATTCTGCTTCTTACTTCCATCTCATCTTGTTATTTGGAATATAATCTCTTTTCCTGTTCAATCGTGTTCTGATTTGAGGGAATTTGTCGAGTGAATTGGTTTCCGAGAATGCTAAGCAATTTTATTTATTTTATTTTATTTTAACACATCGATACAAGGAGGCACCAAATACATATGCGCTACACAAATCTCATTCGATATGTGTGAGGGCTGTGATACTGCCCGGGTGCCCAAACCGAAGCAGGTGGTTTTCTTAAGGGGCCACTCCCCGAGCCTTCGACCTGAAGGTCTGATCCACAAGGCAGTGGAGCATCGTAAGGAGATGCAATCCTATGGAAGCCGGTGACCAACAATTGGTTCATGCGCCATTTGTTCCCGCAGGATACTGGAGCCCATGTGCACCAATGGTTTAGGATCCGCTTAAAGCGCCGGACATTCGCTTTTCGTCCTCTCATTTTTGCAAACAACACCCTCGCCACGAGAAGGCAGTGAGTAGGACTTCCCTGGCAGAGGCTATATACGCGTGGCCATGTGAGAGCATTTCGAGAGGGAGAGCGGACTCTCCCCACTCTATGCCATACCAGGGAATTTTGGGGCTACTAAGCAATAGGAATATCTGGGTTGTGCTCAAAGGAGAGAACCATGACACACACACACATTAACTTACTTGCGTTATGAAAGACTTAGGAAAACGTCGTTTCCTAGTGTTTTCTTGTGTTTCTTCTTCTTCAGTAACTGTTTGTGATGATTGTCCCATTTTTATTTCATTAATTACAGATTTATTATTGAATGTATTATCTAGTTGATTAAGAACGTTTGTTTTACTACTCTTTAATTTGTTATGTTTCAAATGAAGTTTTTTATTCTTTGCTTTCAAGTTTGATGTATTTCTATGACTTAGAGAATTATGTAATTCTTCATGAGAAACTTTACAAATTGTTTTACAAAATGGAATTGATATTGATGTGAAATTATTTTTAGTGTTTCTACCACTACTATAACTACTATTACTATATTCAGTAGTATGTACTTCATTAAACGGTATCAAAGAATTCGGTAATATGGTAGACGTAGACTTTGAAAAATAATTAACATCTGAAACATTAGACTGTATTTTAACTTTCTTAGTTTTTTTATTTCTTGATGATTTTTTACTGAATCCATCCGTAGGTTGACTAACTAAATCACTGGAATTCAGTGACAGTGTTAGTTGTTGTGTTGGTTCTTTTATTTTTATATCAGTGGATAGAGGAGAGTCAACAGTTCGATTTATATCAATCGTTGTTGCTATACTTTGAGGAATAGAAGTATGAATAGTATTTTTATGAGTTTCAACAGCTTTTATATTCTTTTCAATTGACTGGTTTGTTTTGTTTTGTTTCTTTTTTGATTGTTTTAATGAGTTTTTATTAGTATCTTGATGTTTAATGCTTAAGTCTGAATCACATAATGTCAACTCTGTAGTCATTACGTTTATATCTCCTTTTCTTAGAGATGATTGTTCTATTAATGTGTCATTATCATTATTATTATTATTATTATTATTATTATTATTATTATTATTATTATTATTATTATTATTGAATTGTACTTTTTCAATGTATTCTGAAGTGTCATCATGATTATCTACTAGAATTGTACTACTTATATGAGTTATTTCAGTATGAACTGTATTATCATTTGATTCAATCATTTGTGATTCATTCAAAACTTGTTTAGATAAATTGTTAGTTTCTAGAATAATTGTAGGTTGTTTATTAGATGTTTGTTCTATACAACATTCTAATTGAGAATTAGTATTGTTTAATTCAAGGAATGTTGAATCGGAAAATGACATCATAGATGGATTTATATATTCTTTATTTATAGATTCTGATGTCATCTCTATGTCATGCATGTTTACCTCGTGTAAATGATCATTTTTTGAGTCTGTTGCATTCTTCTTCTCCGTCTTGTCCTTCTTCTTCTTCTTCATCATCTTCTCCTCCTCATGAACAATGATACATGAGTCTTGTTCTATAGTATTATCAATATCAGAATGTTTCTTTTCATGTTTTTTTCTAGATTTTTTTGATCCTTTCTTAAAATTTTTCTCATCACTAATTAATTCTGGTGGTGATAATAGTTCAACATTGTTATTATGATTATCAATGTCAGCTTCTTCATAAATTCCTTGAGGTGTTTTTGATATCGATTGAATCTCTTGAGGAATAATTAATAATTCTGATATTGATAAACTATCAGTAATAAATTGACTTGATTGTTGATTGATCAAATTTATTGATTCAGAATGTACAGGATCATTTATTGATATTTTCTGATCAATAGTTTGTTCTAATGAGTTGTCTATAATTTGTTTCTTTTGATTTGATTTTTCTATTGTTTGTTTAGAAATTTCATTGTTCTGTATAATTTCATGATTCAATTCTGAATCAGTTTCTTGATTAGTTTCATTGGATGAACAACATTTAGTGAATTGATTTGATTCAGTCAATAAATGAGTAGATATAGACATTGGTTTATTATTTTGTAAAACATTTAACCTAACAGAATCTTCTTTATGAATCGATATCTCTATAGAAGATAATGTTATGTCATTAGATTCATTATTTGTTGATTCAGATATAAATGAAGAATTTAAGGGTTGAATATTTTCTTCATATTGTTCTTTTAGTTCTATTTCTTTATTTATTGATTTTTGATCTTTCTTTAAATGTTTCATAGAGTTTTCAATATATTTCTTATTGTATTGTGGATCTATTTCAATTACATTGTTTATAGTTGATAGATTATCATTGATATTGAATTGTAATGATGAGATTTCATTTTGAATACTACTTGTAGTAGTAGTAATAGTAGATGCTACATCAGTAATATTTATGCCAGAATTATTTATATCCGATGTAATGATACTACTTATGAATTCATTATGTTCATGATCTAATGTAGTATTTTCTATAGGTAATAATAGATTAGTATCCATAGTGATATCAAATGTATTTTTCTCTAATGATAATACATGTTTTTGTTTTTTTTTAGATTTTTTAATTGATTTCTTATCTGAATTTATTAATTTTATTGGATCTATAATTGATGATTTCATTTCATTATCGATTTGTTTTATTGATTCAATGAAATTATTTTCATTTTGATTAGTAACAATTAGATTAGTTATCATTTGTTCAGTATTTTTAAGTAGTATATCATTATTAATAGATGAAATCATATTTTCCTGAACGCTTAGCATATTCTCATCGATAGATTCATCATTTACTATAATGATGTTTTGATTATTTATCATTGGTAAATTGATACTATCATTATTGATTTTTTGATGAATGGGATTATTTGATTGATTTGGATACTCATTTTGTTGTTGTCGCTGTTGTTGTTGTTGTTGTTGCTGTTGTTGTTGTTGTCGCTGTTGTTGTTGTTGTTGTTCTGTTTCATTGATTTCAACTTTTGATTGTTTTAAAGTACATGTATTTTTTATTGTTTGATCAATTTCTATATGAATAGTTGGATGTTGTTCTGTTGTTATAATTGTTGGTTCATTTTTTTGATCTGGTTCATTTGAATCAGATCTATATTTTAATTGTTAATAAACGAAAAGATAGAGAAAGAGGGGAAAAAAAGTCATAAGATATATATATGTGAACACTTTTTTTGCAATTGACTCATGAATTCAACTGTTAAAATTACTATAATATCCACAAAACCTCTTCTGATATTATTCAACATTAGCTCACTACTGACTGGCTTTAAGAGGTATGCATATCATGGAGTTTTAGTGAGAAGCATTGACCAGTAGAGTTCAGCCGGGTCATTTGTGAGATAGTAACTCATTGATGATGCGTTGCTCGAATTCGGGGATTAGTTAAAGCTAGACATTAACACCATTGGATGCCGGTCGACTCAGTGGTCTAGAGGTTAAGCGTCCAAGCGCGTGACTGATAAGTCCTCGGTTCGAATCTCGCGTGCGGGACCGTGGATGCGCACTGCTAAGGAGTTCGACATTAGGCAGAAACGCCTATCCAGTGCTTTCAGATTTTTCATGGTGGATTAGCCTTAAATTATTCATAAATTCAATTAATAAAAATTACTATAATATACATAAAACCCTTCTATGAAAAATGATTGACTTAATTGACTATGAGTTGATTGAATAATTAATTGTTTACAATGTAAAAAAACAGAAAGTTTACAAGGTAGTTTTGTTTTGTAGAAGAAATTATTTTTTTAAATTAATGGAACAAGATTGAATAGGATTGTTTTTATTCACCAGATAACTAGTTTTTCAGATAGTTGAAGGTTGAGGAGTCCCGTGCTAGGACAAAACGGTCATCCGGTGCTTGCGGGTTTTCCATGGTGATCTGGCTTTAATTGACTCATGAATTCATATATTTAAAAGATGTTAGTTTATCAGTATTAAATATACTGTTTCGATTTAACACTGAAATCATGTACTAGAAACATTATGGTCACATTTAAATTAAGAAAGAAACAACATTAGATAATTGAAAACAATCAAGTGAAAGCATTGCTTCATCAAAATCACTTGAATTAACTCACTTATATGTTAGGTTCTACGTCCCTTAGGACTGACAAGTGTTAACTATTGTCCAAATTAATGTTTTTTTAGGATAAAAGCCATCGTTACCTAGTATTTTACAACCAGCAGTTACAAGTGTTAACTTCAACTGTTACTATCCATTATCATTTCCTTTTAAAAAAAATGAGATACTTTTTCCCAGTAAACACAAGGCACAATTCGTAGCTTGGTTCATAATCGATACAGTTTATTCCAAGTTTATTCATAGATGAGCAATTATGAACATCATTTCCTTGCAACACTTTGATAAAAAAAATTTCTAGAAGCTAATAAGTCAGTTTCATGTATTCTAGTCTGTAACAAATTAATCAGTAAGCATTCTCATTGAAATGATAGATAAGAATTGAAGCTCATGTGTATGATTTTGGTGTTGTTGAGTTCTCAAAGCTAAATGGTTTAGTTAGTGAACTTTTATTATTAGCTTTGAAACATGTCGCCATCTACACAACTAGAGGGATGAAAATGTAATTTGAACTATCTACCTCATAAAGCTCAATAACAGTATATATATATATATATATTGGTGAATAATATCTTGGATTTCATTGCTAGCCAATATCCAAAAGTATAACAGAACTTCCAACTCCATAAAATATTGAAACATTCGCGTAAAGAGCCTATATTTTTAACAGAAACTGGTCAAAAATGATTCTGAGTATCAGTATTGTGCAAAACTTGGTTGGTCTTGGACATTTACGGAGTTAGATCCCGGCTCAATTGTCTAGAGGTTAAGCCTTCGCGCGTGAGACCGAATTTCCTAGGTCCCGTAGAGTCTCATAATGTGACGAAATAAACGTTCAGTGTTCTCGGGATTTTAATGGTCGTCTATCTAAGATTAGTTCGTGATTCAAACTGCGAAATATAGTTGTCCGTAAGACGTAAAAAACATATAGCTACTGTTTATTAGTTAGTAGTATATCTCGTTTACTAATAATATAGCAAATTGACTGAGTAACATCATATGGAAATACAGTGTAAATGACCATGTGGCAATGTTACCCTCCGTTCAAAAAGTAGATCTTGAATTCAGTATTTGTGATAATCAAAAATACGTTTCCGAAATTTAAGCAGCTATCCTGGTTCGATGATCTACAGGTTAGCCGTTCGAGCACGAGACATTTGTGAGGGAATAGAAACTGCCCGTGAGAATAAAACTTGTCATAGACAATTATTAACATCTATCACCCCTAACTAATTAGTTTCTATAGACATTTCTGTTCTGAAAGTTCCTGAAACCACTCTAAATATAATTAGTAAGTAGTAGGTAAATATCCAATCAAAAATATGACACGTAACACTACACCTTCTAGATATTTCTAAGAAGTTTCTATTCCACTTTAATTGTATAAAATATCTGTCAACACTTTTCTAAACTGTTATTGACTTTAATAATATAAAAATACTTTGAACCTATTCAACAATATACTTCAATTCTATAATTGTAAGCCAAAATAACAACAATAATAAAAAAAAATCTTAATTATTAAATCAGTTGAACAATAGTTTGTCAATGTTATTGTTGATAAAGCAATTAAACTTTAATATACATATGTCATTAGTAATTCTTATGAATAGTTTAAGACCATACAATAACAAAACAGAAATATTCTACTATAGCTTCTGCCAGCGAAGTCCTACTCACTGCCTTCTTTTGGTAGGAGTGTTGTTTACGAAATTGAGAGAATGAAAAGTGAATGTCCGGAGCTTTAACCGGGTTGGTGGACATGGAGAGTCCACCTAGGGGAGTTGGAAAACCATCATTCCAAACCAATGGTGCACATGGGCTCCAGTATCCTGAAGAAACAAATGGCGTTTGAACCAATTATTAGTCACCGGCTGCCATGGGACTACATCTCCTTAAGTTGCTCCACTGTCTTGTGGATCAGACCTTCAGGTCGAAGGCTCTGGGTGTGGCCCCCTAAGAAAACTGCCTGCTTCTGTTTGGGCACCCGGTCAGTATCACAGACCCCACACAAGTCAAATGATTTGTGTGGTGCATATATTTCTGGTGCCCCCTTGTACTAATATCCGTGTTCAAATAAATAAAATATATAAGTATACGGATATAGAGACTGTTAAGTTACATTAAACAGACCAATGTTAGACCACTATTGGAAATCGGGAAGCATTAAACGGCCATTTCGTTCTAATATGAAACTCCTTAGAAGTGCTCATACACGAACCTGCATATGGGAGCAGAACACAGAATTTTTGGTCCCACAGGCGAACGCTTAACCCCTAAAGCACTAAGCCAGTATGCCGCGTGCACGGTCTCGGATGCACAATGACACTGGAGAATGCCACAACAGGAAGAAAAGGCCATCCAATGCTCCCAAGTTTTCAATGGTGGTCTAACGTTGGTGGGATCACGAAATCAATGAAATTCAATTATTTGACTAATAATCAAGAACCAGATTGACAGTTTATTGATACAAGGTAAAACGTAGTTAAAACCGATCGAATCAGAGTGAAATCGGTTTAGTATGGAAAATCGTGTCTCATATTTCGTATAACCAGATATGTGTATCATCGCTCATTAATCAGTTACATCTTATTTTCCTTAATGTATCAATTTAAAGTTTAAATTTCATTATGTAAATATGGTGATTCTAAATGAGTAGGTGTTTTCTATTTGTTCACTATTGATTAAATTCGAGAAGTTTCATTGAGTAACCTTGACTAGTGTAATTCAATCATGTTGAAGATGAGATAAGCACTATCAATGTATATCTGTGATATTCATACAATATTTCGAATGAACAGATGTTGGAAATACTAGTCAGTGAAAACCAACTCAGTGTTAAGAAAGCAAAATAATTGTTGTGATGTTTGACTGTCTATGATTCGATACTGAAATAAGTGATGTATGGATACTATTGAAGCCTTTCATAATAAGACGAAATAGCTGACGCTAGAACTAAACCAATAATGATCGATTTGAAGAGTGACTCTGTGAGTAATTTGTTAGATGTAAAACAATAAGAATGAAGTCGTTGTGAGTTGTATATTACAAAACTGATGACCAAATTCACGCAAGGTATAGAGTTTTAAAATGTTAAAACCTTAACATCAAAATCCGGGTACATTAGTTCAAACAATAAGAACCCAGACTTTGTGAACAACTTATAACTTTGATCTTGCAAAGAAGTGGCATTTCTAATAGACTTCTTGGCCAACATGTACGGCACTGTAGAAAAAACCTTGTCTTAGGACAATCATTTCTTCTCTCTATGTTATTTGCTGCTTTTATTTATATAAGATGCTATTTCTCAATGTTCAGAAGTCTTAAACATGGTCCACGATTATATCTTTTCACAAATTAGTCAAAATATGAAATCTAATCTGTTAACGGGACATAGACTGGATTAAAGCATGCTCAATGCACACTTGCGTTGGCTAATTCTTATCCAATCAGCACTAGTCGATACTCTAGTATCTTCCCATGTAAAAACTATAAATATACTAACGTTCTCATTATTGTGCTTCTTACTTCCATCTAACTTTGTTATTTGGAATATTATCTCTTTCCTGTTCAACCGTGTTCTGATTTGGGGACTTGTCGAGTGAATCGGTGTCCGAGAATACTAAGCAATAGGAACAGCTGGGTCATAACCGTAAGAAAGAGAATATAACAATACTATACGTATATTTTTATCGTATAATTGTTAAGTAACTAAACTATATATATTTATGTCCCTCTTATTGTAAGCTTTATTTTCACTTATGAACTATCATTATACGATTTACCATTCTTGAATTATGCCCTGTCTATTAATGACTACCTCCCACATTCATAGCCACATTAGGTTAAATCTTGTACAAATTTCGTTTCCTATTTTATGGTACGATGTGGTCTATCCGGTTGGTATGTAAACCTAGAATGTTTGAAATACATGATTCATATCACAGAAGCTGAGATTGATGTTCTGAACTTAACAGGTAGGGCTAGGCGGGAAGCAGGATCAATAAGGA